ATGGACACCATAATCAACAAAATATTTACAAGGTAAAAGGCTTACGACCAATAAAAAAATCATCAGAATTGGGACGGGGTGGATGGGCGGAGCTACATTTTGCCTTTTTTTCTTAGTATGTGTAGTCTTATTTCGACAACAAGAAACTTAAAACATGTCTAAAATGGCAACTTTTTGTAGTGATCAACTCCAATCGTCCACTTTTATTTTACAACCGCTTTAAATACGGCAAAAGTTGAACATCAAAATTACACTATCAACCACAACTTGGCAACGGAGTTTATAAATGACAATTTTCAGCTCCAAAACTGCAATGGGAACCTTAATGTCAACAGCAAGTTTATAAATCCCACTTTAAAATGGTAAATTATTGTACGAACATATCGATTTTACAATTAAGCTCCGCCCCTCGGCTTACGACCAATAAAATAATCATCTGAATTAAGATAGGGTGGGTGGGCGGGGCTTATATTTTGCCCTTTTTTTATTAAGTTGCACATGGTTGCCTATGTTTAACGATTTTTTTTGATTGAATTTTTTTTCAGCGCGAAATTTTAATTGAAATTCCACCTAGATAAGACGGGTTCAACTGGAACTAGCCATCGAGAAAAAATTAAGCCGGTTCTAGGCCAACTGGTATCGCCAAAAAATTAATAGTTGGGGTTTTAGATCACCCGCCAAGTGTCGACAAAAAATAGTGGAGGTTCTAGCTCAAATCACGCCAAGTATCAACAAAAAATGATGGGGGTTCTAAGCCAGGTCAATGACCTAACGACAAAAAGTAATGCCGATTCTAGACCAAGTCAATACTGTCTATACAATCTCTTTTTTTTGTCTTTTTCAACTCTGCTGATCCACGCTTCTTGTAACCTCACTGCTGACAACAATGTCGCTTGCCGTTGAATCTATTTAGTAGAACCCAAAGTCCATAAATTTAACAATTTTTTCATAACACATATACAACTAAAATTTTCTTGATTATCTCGTTTCCAGAGCGCTCTGGGCGTCCTTTCCGTTTGTTTAGTTTTTCAAGAGGGATTTCATAACCTATATGATAAAACTATAACTTGGCAAGCTAAGTCTTGGTGTTTTTTTTTTGTTTTATTATTTACATGCATTTGATTACACCTAATTAATACCACTTAATTTTAGATATTTGATGAACTTACCACTCTTTCCCGACGGAAGAATCCAGTAGTGGATATATTATTCTCAAACTGAGACTCATCAAGCTAAAATATTTCTCGCGACTTGTTTTTTATACCAAGAAATTACGTCTATACGCTTTTTTTTCATAATATAAAATACTACATTCTCGGTAATTTATTTGTTTGACCTAGACCCATTTATCTATTTTTTCATTAAAATTAAGTAAAGCGCTAATTCATTAAAAATGTTTGTTGACATTCATCCCGATGTGACACACTTTTGTTAGTTTAGAAAATGAATCTGATACGTTTTTCTATACTTTTAATCTCAAAGAGTATCAGTTTTGCGTCATAAACAAATGGATATTGATCATTATTACCGCAATTTCTATTTGAAGATCTTTCACTTTATTTTCTCTATTAGAAACATAATGGTCAAAATGATTTATTACTATGATTCTTTCGTCTGGAAATTAGTCATTCGGAAACTAGAACTAGTGTAAAAACGATGTATTGGTATTTTTTGAGTATTATGGTCGCTTACACCGGTGCCAACATGTTGATGTTGCAAGACAAACTTCCTAGTTCGCAGTTTCCTGGGTCTTGTTTAAACCATCTAATTGAAACTCTTCCAGAAACTAATTTTACGTACACTATAAATCTAGAGTGGTACTTGGAACAACCATCAATCCGACTTGATTTGTCAAAACCGTTCTGGCTTACCAGTGAAAGAAGCGATATTGTTATAATTAAGTTAAATGGTCAATCTCTGAAAACAGTACTACAACGAATCGTCAATCAACCGTTTTTCAATCCCAGAGGTACCACCATCGTCATAACAAACCAAGTAAAGTTCTTTGATTTTAAAGCTGCGTCAAGCTTCTATATTAACAAATTGATAGTACTTGAGGAACAATCAGACACACATCAAACAATCTACTCCTACCAACCTTACAGATTCGGAAACGTTAACAACCCTTCTGTGGTTTTTTCCACGTGGGGTACTTGCACCAATGGAAAATTAACACTAAAGAAAAAAGCAATCAAACCTAAATTACCTAGAAAGTGGCCAAACACCACCATCCGAGCACTAAACAACATCGTCCCACCCTACGCCATCTGTCCTACATGCACCATCGACCGCGGTATCGAAATCGAAGTGTTTGATATCATAGCCCAGTGTCTCCAATTACAAGTTACCTACACCCGAAACGAATTCGCCTACTGGGGTAGCAAATCCAACGGTACCTACTCGCACATTTATGGCGAACTCCAACGACGCGAAGGCGACATGGCCGTCGGTGTTTTCCACTCGAAGTTCGACGAACATCTCGATTTCGACATGTCGTACTCTTACATGGAAGATAGTACCAGATGGTTGGTACCCAAAGCAAAAATCTTGCCATACTGGAAACGTCTGAGCTTGATTTTCGCCAAAGAAGTGTACTTGTCTGTAATCTTCTCCATTTTTCTGATGGTCGTGGTCTACCGCCTTCTCCACAACGCTTCGTACTCGTCGTCTTGGATCATGTTGTACCAGATTTTACTAGAACTCAGTCTCAAACAACTCCCGTTTAACTTCAGATCGGTTACGATGGCCTGGATTGCTTCGTGTCTTATTTTGTCGACGATGTTCAAAAGTAAGTTGATTGATATCATGTCGAAGGACAGCTACGAGCACCAGATTAGTACTTTGAGCGACATTGTTGACTCTAAATTGGAGATAGTCATCGACCATGATATTGCGAAATTTTACCAAAACAATACTAACGCCATAGAGGAACAAATCAAGAACAACTACCGGTACTGTATCAATCCGAGGATTTGTATCACTCGTACTGCTTTCATCCAGGATTGCGTTACCGTAGATTTTAAAAGAACTAACGAGTACTTTTTGCCACAGTACATCGACTCGGAAGGAGATGTCTTGTTTTATTTGTTTAAAACTCCGATTTTTCTAGTGCATATTCACTTGTTTTTTGTCAAGGGGTACCCGATTTTTCCCCAGATTGATGAGTTTTTGATAAGGATGAGAGCGAGTGGTATTATTCAACATCTGTACGACAATGCGAGTCATAACGCACGTCTGGCTTTGAGCAAGAAGTCTACTTTTAAAGTCGAAGTTCTTGGGTTGGAGCAATTACAGGTTGCGTTTGTTATATGGAGTCTTGGAGTGGGGTTTTCGGTTTTGGTGTTCGTGGTTGAAAATGTTGTAGTGATGGGACATCTTCGGGGGAGGAAAATGAAGCTTGATTTGTAAACTTTTTATTCTTATTTAAATATACAACATGTATAGTTACTGAAAATGTTGTAATATTCGTGGAATAAAAAAATAAATACATTTTTAAGAAACAATGTACACAAAGTACAAAAGTCACGGTCGTATTCCTTGTCTTTTTATCAACTTTGTAACATATACAACTGCAGTTGTACTACTAAGTAGCTTCCGATAATCAGCCCTTGAGCAAAGTCATACATTTTACAATCAAGGGTACTGATAAAATAACATGAATTCTTCATTTTCTTAGTACTTGTATAAATAAAGCAACTGCTGGCATTAGTTTATATTCACAAACATTGTGTCAATTCTCTTGGTACAGAATGATGAGACTTAAGTACTTTGAGTTCAGCGACAACGACGAACAGAAAATTTTCAACCATTTTCACAGAACCACAAAAATGGTGGCAGAAGATGTCCAAACCATTCAAGAATGGATGAAAGTGCAGCCACATTTACCAGAAGTTTTGGGTAACCATGAATTGATAGAACCTTCAACATATTCATTCCCCTATTTCAGACACCAACAGCATAAAGAACTTTTTGATTATAAGCAAATGTAGTGTAGAGATTGCTAAACAAAAAATAGAAATGAGGTACCTCATGCGTCAAAAAATTCCAGATATTTTTGAAAATATCAACCCTAGATTACCACACATGAACACCATTTTTGACGCTCTGTGAGTATTAAAGTTTTGTTATTCTATGAAAATAGTGTAAGCACGTTCAAAAAAGGTACTGGGTGCCACTTCCCAAATTGGTGGACGGTCTGGGCAGAGTGTTTATTTCCAAAGTTCGCAATCCAGACCTATGTAGACATATGGAACATCACACCTACAACGGACATCACTTTAATTTTGTCGAAATATATTTGAAAGAAAGTCTCCAGCTCAACTTTTCAGTCGTTTTTGATTTGTCCCACATATCCAATGAAAATTTTAAACATTTTGTGCCAAGTATTTTACGCAAGATGGTTATGCTTTACCATGTTGGTTAATATTTTAATGAAATTAGAAACAATTTTGCGTGTATGTGGTTTCAGAATGCTTATTCGTGGTCCATGAAAGGAACGTACTTCGTCAATTCACATCCTAACTTACAGATCGTTTTGTCAGTTCTGAAGACGTTGATAAAACCGAAACTTATGCACAGGGTTTGTTGACATTTTTGATAAAGTAAGCTGTGTCTAACTTCATAATGTGTAGATTCATTTTTGCAAAAGCGAGAGGGAGTTACTGGAGATTTTTCCAAAGGAGATTTTGCCAGTAGATTATGGTGGTGAAGAACGGTCTCTGGAAGAGTTAAACGGTATATATATGTTTGTTCACCCCCACCAACAATTTGATGACGCCACACATCTTAAACTTATTTAAAATATGTAAAATAATTTTTTTTTAGAAATGATAAAAGAGAAATTTTTGGAATACCAACACCATTTTGACGAGATTGCCAGTTTTGTGATTGATGAGAAATTAGTACCGAAAAAATTAATAAATGACGACTTTTTGGGATTTTATGGCAACTTCAAGAAACTAGAGATTGATTAGTCTGATTTAAAATGTACTACTTAAACATAATAATTAATAAATATATATTTTTAAACTTTTAAATTTCAGACATCATTATGTATATAGTTATAAATAATTCTTGGGTATCGCTAGAACTCGTGCGGGGGCTCCGGTACCATCCTTCAGTTTCATGGGTAAAACGACAACACTGAATCCCTTTTCTGGCAAATCCTCCAAAAGCTTCAAATTTTCCACGTTATAAATCTGATTTTTACTCAAAATGCGATGTGTCATGAATTCTGAACTCCTCCCAGGATCCACACTGGCAGTATCCAGACCAACCCCCACAATTTTCCTGGAGTTGACAATCCAGGTTGCGGCCTCAGCGGAAATACCTTCACATTTTTATCATAGCTTAAACACTCCACAGGTCATGATCTTACCAGGAAAGTCCATGTTTCCGTTGACATCTATGCCCATGTACTGGTTTCTGTTGTTCCAGTACTTCGACCACCCGAATTTTATTATCAGAAAAGTGTTAGGGTCAAATTCGCCATTTTGGCGCTTCCAGTTTTCCAGGTGTTTTGGCGCAAGTGACTTAGTTTCAGTGCGACTTAAGTCAATTGTGGCACCTAAGTAAATATATAAGTTATAGGGTACCAATAACTTACTAAAAGGTGGTACCAACCTTTTGCGACGAGTCTAGTAATTGGAACGTCAGCCACCTTCCATCCTTCTTTATTGAAGTGATATGGGGCGTCAAAATGGGTACCGCCATGTTCGCCAGCACAAAATTCATTCATAGAGTACCTGTGTGGTACTTGTCAAGATAAGACGGATTTTGCCAAATGATATACCGTCTACCCTTCATTTTCTTAGAGGGTATGTTATTTGGCAAAATCAATATTATCTTAGCAAATACTAGCCCCGCCCACCCGCCCTCTATTTTCTTAAAGGATATGTTATTTGCCAAAATCAGTCTTATGTTAGCAAGTACTAGAAATGGTGAAACCAAAAAAACGATTAATCGACAAATTGAAAAGTCGAAAAATATTTTGAAACGTCAAAAACTGAAAAATTGAAAAATCGTAAACCTTCAAACATTGGAAAATTGACAAACCCAAAAATGAAGCAATCGAGAAATGGAAAATTTGAAGAAACGGGAAACTGAAATATTTCAAAAACGAAAAATCGAAAAATCAAAAATTAAAAAATCTAGAATTCGAAAAGTCGAAAAACTAAAGAACTGAAAAACTGAAAGGTCGAGAAATCAAGAAATGGGAAAAGCAAAAAACAATTAATCGAGAAATTGAGAAGTCGAAAAATTGGGAAATCCCAAAACTAAAACATCGCAAAATTACGAAATGGAAAAATCAAGAAACCGAAACAACAAAAAATCGAAAAACTGAAAAACCAAAAACGTAAAAAATCAAAAAATCGAAACATTGAAAAATGGAAAGATTGAAAAATTAATAAATCGAAAAATCTAAAAATTGAAGAATTGAAAAACCGAAAGATCGATAAATCGTGAAGTCGAAACATCGAAGAGTCGAGAAGTTGGGAAATGGGAAAATCAAAAAATCGATTAATCGAGAAAAATTAATGATGATTAATCGAATAAATTAAAAAATATAAAACTTAACATCAAAGAATTGAAAAATTGAGAAATCGAAAAGCGAGGAAATCGAGCAACTGAAAATTTGAAAAATCAAAAAACCAACAATTTTAAAAATCGAAAAAATGAAAAATTGAAAAGTCGAGAAACCGAAAAATTGAAAAACCAAAAACCTGAAAAATCGAAAAATTGAAAAATCGAAAAATTGAAAAGTCGGAACACTGAAAGGTCGAGAAATCAAAAAAATGAGGAAACCAAAAAAGTGATTAGTCGAGAAATTGAGAACGCGAAAAACTAAACATTTGAAAAACCTCAAAAACTGAAAAATTGAAAAATCGGATCAAAATTGGAAAATCGCAAAACTTCAACCATTGGAAAATTGACAAACTCAAAAAATGCAGAAATCGAGAAATTGAAAAATTCCAACAATGAAAAATCGAAGAATAAAAAATTAAAACATCGAGAAAACGAAAAGTCGAATAATTGAAAAATTGAAAAATCTAAAAACTCAAAAGTCGAGAAATCAAGAAATGGGACAATCAACAAAGAAGCCGAAAAATTGAAAATTTTGAAACGTCAAAAACCGAAAAATTGAACAATCAAAATCCTGAAAAATCGAAAAATTGAAGAATTGAAGTCCAAAAATCAAGAAATGGGAAAATCAAATATTTATTCATCGAGAAATCGAAAAATTGAAAACTTAGACACGTCAGAAACTGAAAAATTCAAAAATCAAAAAAAATTGACGAGTCGAGAAGGTACAAAATCGAGAAATCAAAAAATTGAAAAATCCCAAAAGTGAATTATCAAAAATTTCCCCGTGGAAAATCTAGAAATCGAAACATCAAAATATTGAAAAACTGAAAACCGAAACCGTAAAAATCAAAAATCTAAACGAAAAATTGAAAAATGGAAAGATTGTGAAATCCCTAAACTGAAATATTGAAAAATTAATAAATCGATAAATCGAAAAATTGAAAAACAGAATAAAAAAACAAAAACTTAAAAAATCAAAAAATTGAAAGATCGAAAAATCGAGAAGTCGAAACATCAAAAAGTGGTGAAATTGAAAAATGGGAAAATCAAAAAATCGATTAATCGAAAACAATTGTAAAATCGTATAAATTAAAAATCGAAAAATTGAAGAGTCGAAAAATCGAAAAACCGGAAAATTGAGAACTTGTGAAATCGAGAAATCGAAAAATCGGCTAATTGAGCAATTGAAAAACCGAGATATCGGAAAGTCCAAGAATTGAAAAATTAAAAAAATCGAAAAATTGATGAATTGACAAACTGAAATTCGAAACAGTGAATAGTCGACAAACCGAGAAATCGAAAATTTGAAAAATTGTGAAATCGAAAAATTGAAAAACCAAAAACCTGAAAAATTGGAACACTGAAAGGTCGAGAAATCAAGAAATGGGGAAACCAAAAAAGCGATTCATCGAGAAATTGAGAACCCGAAAAACTGAAAATTTTGAAACGTCAAAAACTGAAAAATTTAAAAATCGAATCAAAATTGGAAAATCGTAAAACTTCGACCATTGGTAAATTGACAAACTCAAAAAATGAAGAAATCGAGAAATGAAAAATTTGAAGAATCGAGAATTTGAAAAGTTTCAGCAACGAAAAATTGAAGAATCAAAAATTAAAAAATCGAGAAATCGAAAAATTGAAAAATTGAACAACTGAAAATTTGAAAAACTGAAAGGTTGAGAAATCAAGAAATGAGAAAAGCCATGAAAAAATGAAAAACCAAAAACCTGAAAAATCGAAACACTGAAAGGTCGAGAAATCAGGAAATGGGGAAACCAAAAAAGCGATTAATCGAGAAATTGAGAACTCGAAAAATAGAAAATTTTGAAATGTCAAAAACCAAAAAATTGAAAAATCGAATAAATATTGAAAAATTGAAAAATCGTAAATCTAACATTGGAAATTTGACAAATACAAAAATGAAGAAATCGAGAAATGGAAAATTTGAAGAAATGCGAAATTGAAAAATCCCAACAACAAAAAATCGAAAAATTGAAGAATTGAATAACGGCAAAATTGAGATATTGAAGAATTGAACAACGGAAAAATCGAGACATTGAGAAGTCAAGAAATCGAGAAATCGGAAAATCAAAAATCCATTCATCGAGAAACCGAAAAATGAAAACTTAGACACGTCAAAACTGAAGAATTCAAAAATCAAAAAATTCAAAAATCAAAAAAATTGAAGAGTCCAGAAGGTAAAAAAATCGAGAAAACAAAAAATTGAAAAAATCAAGAAATCGAAACATCAAAATATCGAGAAACTGAAAAACGTAAAATGTAAATTAAACAAAAATCTAAACGAAAATCGAAAAATTGAAGAATGGGAAGACTGCAAAATCCCCAAACTGAAATATTCCAAAATTAATAAATCGATAAATGCAAAAATTGAGGAATTGAAAAACAGAATAAAAAATCAAAAACCTAAAAAAACAAAATTGAAGAATTGAAAAACTCGAGAAGTCGAAGCATCGAAAAGTCGTGAAATTGAAAAATGGGAAAATCAAAAAATCGATAAATTCAGAAAAATTAAAGATGTAGAAACGTCAAACACCGAAAAATTGTAAAATTATAAAATTGAAGAGTCGAAAAATTAAAAAATTGTAAAACTTAACACCGGAAAATTGAAAACTTGAGAAATAAAAAAATTGAAAAATCCCAATTAAAAATCAAATATGTAATTGAAAAACCGAAGATCGAGATATTAAAGAACCGAGAAATCGAAAAATCGAAAGATGTAAAAACTTGGTTGGAAAGATACTCACCAGTAGCCATTTCTATCTTCAGCCACCATTTTTGTGTAAGAAAAGGGTTTAATTCCACTCCAATATACTGTATTGTTGCTGAAATCCCAAGTCAAATCTACTATTTCTGTCAATTTTGACGCAACAAAGCTGACCTTCGCTAGTAAAAGTAAAGTCAACACTTTAATCAACATCTTGGATGAAAGACTGCCCTAAGAATAAAGTGAGCACTATTTAAATTTTATTTAAAGTTATCAGTGACAATAACCTCACTCAGTGATAACAAAGGCGCAATGAATTATATTAGCATTATTTTCCTCGCTGCTAATAGAATCTAATAGCTCCTCAGAAATTGTTTAATTATAAAAACTACTAATTTTTCTCTATACATATATCTATATTTACTATGTACAAAGTTGTACAAATAAAGTCTCTGATGATAAACTACTTAATATTTAAACTTGATTTTTACAGTTTAAAAAGCCGTTTTTTTTCTATTGTAAAGTGTTATTTTAAAGAAGTACGTAATACAGTAACGGCTGATATAGAAGATAATCCACGATACCATAGCTGCCCTGAAAGACACAAGCAAAGACAAATTGTAATTTTGCTGTAGACAAACCTACCTCTAGGACGTGTGATTTGGATTCATTGTTCGTGGGTGAATCTGACCTAAAATTTTTTGATAATTATAAATAAGGAAAACTTTTTAGTGACTCATCTAGCTACAGTAAAGCGTTAGTACCGTTAGAACACAAATGTTTATATTTCTTATGATTTTCCACAGTCAACTTCAAGCAAAAAAGTTTCCACAAATCTTACAACAACAACGACTGCGATGTCTTTTTTTGGTAGTTTGCCAGTGAGATAAAAGTACTCAAGTTACCTCTCAAATGAGAAAAAGATAACCCTATGATATTTAAAACTTTCCATTAAGATAACTTTTTTGCTATTTTGCACAAATAACACCAAATTATTGCATAATGAGGTTTCAAGTACAATGACAATTTTCAGTTTTACCATTTCACTTTCTTGATTTGAATATTTCCCGCCATTTTATGACATTAGAATCCTCCACCTTGATGACGTCGATGGCCTGGTTTAGGTTAGTGCGCATGAGCATGGGTTTGGCGGAAAATCGAATTGCCTTAATATCTTATACCAGATAACACTGCTCTTGAAAAATGAATACATTTAAAAGTTGTTCGTAAGTGTACTTTATTATGTCATCTTCGTTGTGTAATAAGGTACAAAGTATAAAGAAATACAAATAGGTGACCCAAAAAGAGTAAAAATATCAATACAAAAATATTCTTCTCATAATAAATAGTTTTTAAATCCCTTAAAAATACAGACTTTGTCCCTACTATAGCCTTTGGAAATAAGTGCATGGTAAGTAAAATAAATAATTAAAAAACACAACTGCCCAGTAACAGTGGCCGTCAGTACCCGTATGAAACATAAACTTCAGAGTGCTTAATTTGGTAAATTATAAATTAATTGTTGTAGGCAACCAACAATACACGAACATCACAAAATCGACGCCACCTTTACTTAACGAAATTTTTATAAATGAAAAATGTTAGTGCACACAGGAAGACAATTATTATGGGAATTGGATTTTCGTTAGAAGCATCTGGTGGATGAAGGGATCTGTAAAACGAAAATGGTGAATTATTCAGTGGTAACTTCGTTTGTATAATAAAAAAATTTAATAAAATAAAATATAAAAATCAACGTTTCCTCGTCATAACTCGTTGTGTGGTAGCTCTTGAAAGACTGACGACCCCGCCAAGGAACTATTAATTAATGAATTTGTTAGTAATGAGTATTATAAATTCAACTACATTGAGAAAAAAGAAACAATGTTAAAACCGTAATAAACATTAATTTCTTTTAACCCAACTCTTAATACATTTTTGTCATAAAAAAATTATACTAACAAGTGTAGATATTCGCTTATAAACCCTTTCAAAATCAGATTGATGTTAACTACTGTGTCCATGTCAACAATATCACGGTTGTCTTTGGCGGTGTGCCACTCAGGCGGGAACGGAGTACTAATTACATGCAAAATCGGTACATTTCGTTTCAAAAAAGGCAAATGATCATCCTCAATTCGTCCATAAGAACTTCTCGCTAGAAAATAATTACTATAGTGGTTCTTCAACAAGTTCATCTCATGTAAGGTGTTCTCAATTTCAATAAGTCGCAAAAACCTGCAATGTTACATTGTATTTTTTGCCACCCAACTAACCCATCATACCATCGTTTCGTGTTTTCAAAAAAGTTCAAAAATTGTGGATTTCTAAACCCAATTAGATCTAGCAGCGCTAACATGTCGATTTTGTCAAGTTCTGACACGTTTTCGCCGTTAATCAGACTTCTGTTACTGTGGAGTGTTCTAGCCAGGTGTTTAGCACCGTAAATAGAGTCATGAGGCCCCCAATTCTCAAACGCTTCTTCTCCATCAAAGAACACCAATTTGAGAGCTACATTTTTATTTTTTGATTTTTGCAAGTCTTGTGACAAAGTTTTGGCGATTTCGAGCATCATAGCGCACGGCACCGCCGAATCTATCGCCCCCACGAACTCAATATCTTTGAAGTACTTGCTGTCGTAGTGGCACGCTAATACCAAATATCTCTCAGCTTGGGGGTTATGTGTGGCCACTATATTCTTGAATTTTAAGTTACCGAAAATCGGCACTTTATCCATAAACTCGTCGACGTCCACGTGCCAGTTCAACAAGCGCAGCTCTTTTTTTATATACTTGAAGACTTTTTCATGATTTGGGGTACCCACAACGCGAGGTACGAGAATATTATCGAGTACTTTATTGATATAATTGGGGTCACTTGAAGCTGCCAAATAGCGAAAGTCTTCGGTACTTGCTACCTGATTTTGGTGTCGCTCCTAAATTCACACACTAGAAATCATTCAAATGGAACTAATTTTACTTACGCGGGCTGATTTTAGGAAATTGGTGGCTCCTAGCCTCAGAATCACAGAAAATAAGAGAAAGTTTAATAAAGGTACGTACATTTTAATTAAACTAATAATACTGAAGAGCGTATGTTTTGACACTACCCTATTGACGTTTCGTTTTGACGTTTGTGACACGCGATCACTTGGATGCACGAAGGGCGGTTTTTTCGAACTGGATAACCCACGGTTTGAACCACAGTTTGAACCCGCTTTCACTAGCACTGCACGAACAATGGAGAGTCGATGGCTAATAAAGAACCCGATTTGCATTAAGCAGAGGTTAACACGTCAATTTATTGAGCTTCCTGTACTGTGGAGAATCCAGAAGTGGGAAAAAATTTGGTGTAGGAATCAGTTTATCACATCGCCAAACGTAAAAACAAACTCATTGTTTAATTATTCAAGGCTTATGATTGGCTACCGATTAACACAAGTTCGGGTTAACATGACAAAAAATGAACTATTTCTGGGTATTAGGTACACTGACACTTAATAAATGCGTTTAAATCGAGTGATTGCACATCTCTGTGTCAACGGAATCTGAGTAAATATAATGTAATGTTAGATAAGGTTCACATCTCTGTATTTTTTAATTAATCGGTTTAATTGCCTTGAACCTTATCTGAACAAGTCCTCTCATTTTTTTCGGAATTTATAAATCACTTAAAATCATGTTCAATTTAAACAATATATTGTGCGTTTTATTACAGGTACTGATAGCTCGCTTATCGTAGTTAAGATAACACTGCCCTTGAAAAACTAATTTTAATGATAAGTTGGCGGTATCACAACAGTGCCAGAGAAGCGACAAGAGAGAACATAGAGGCGAAAATTGCATTCAAAGCAAATAAAAATTGTCACATGAAGTCACTCAGTATACTTATGACGTTTGTGTCACAGCTATCATGTGCATGTCTACTACAAATTGGGTTTATGTAATAAATAAATAATTGTTATAACTTCCACGTGAGTGAATTTTAGTAACAAGTTTAAACATTAAATAATTTACACACTGTTGCATAGTATAGGTGATATTCATAACCAGATTACGGATGGAAATGACTATTAAACAAATTTGATGAAAAAACTGCTAACAATGCTAAAACTGAAACACAAACAGTACTAATTAGCATTATTATATTATTTGTTCGTTAACTTTTAAAATGACGTTAAAACTTAGAACATGATTTAAATTTCAAGTTGCGTCAATGCGACGTTTCATAAGTCATCTTAATGGAGTATATTATTAGGAATAGAAATATAGGAATACTGAAAGTGAACATTCCCAGGATTTTTCTAAGATGAGACTGAGTTTGCCAAATGGCATACGCTCTAAGAAAATAAAGGGCGGGTGGGCGGCTCTAGTACTTCCCAAGATAAGAATGATTTTGCTAAATGTTTTGTTTTGCTAAAGATTTGTCGTTGACGTACAATTTAAAACCATGCTGATGTTCTAATCTATTATAACTTTTCAAAATAGGATACATAGATAGAATGTAGAATTAATTCGAAAATTTTAGAAAAATATTGTAAAGGAGGGAAATCGGTCAGGATAGATCTTATGAGATTGTTTCCATTTTGTAGGGAAATAGACGGAAAAAGGCCACAAATTCTAAAAAAAGGCAATAAAAAAAGCCCAAAAAGGCAGCAAAAGTTAAAGGCTATAGATGGTAATTTCTTGTAGAGAAATGAGGATTTTGCAACTAAGCTCCGCCCCTCGGTTCACGATGAATAACAAAATTCGTCACAATTGAGAACGGGTGGGTGGGTGGGGCTTATATTTTGTCCATTTTTTTTAAATATAGGAAGTCTTCTTTTCTCAACAAGGAATTGAAAACATGTTTAATTATCTTGTCGCTAAAAGAAAATTCTATATGCATATTAAAAAAAAAACACAAAAATTAAACCCCACCCACCCGCCCCGATCTCAATTGTGATGAGTTTTTCATTCGTAATCAGATAATTTTTGTACAAAATTTTACTCTTTTAGAGAAATGGTGATTTTGCAACTAAGCTCCTCCCCTCGGTTCACGATGAATAAAAAAATTCGTCACAATTGAAAAGGGGTGTGTGGGCGGGGCTTATATTTCGTCCATTTTTTCTTAATATACAAAGTCTACTTTTCCCACCAAGAAAGTGAAAAGATGTTTAACTGTTTTGTCGTTGAAGGAAAACTCTATATATTAAAAAAAAAGAAAAAAAGATTAAGCCCCACCCACCCACCCCGACCGCAATTGTGATGAATTTTTCATTCGTAATCAGATAGAGGGGCGGAGTTCAACTGCAAGATCCATATTTCTGGACAAAATTTTACTTTTAAAAATATACATATTTCAAATGATAATTTCTTGTAGAGAAATGAGGATTTTTCAACTAAGCTCCGCCTTTCAGCTCACGAAGAATAAAAGATTCGTCACAAATGAGAAGCGGTGGGTGGGTGGGGCTTATATTTCGTCTAGTTTTCTTAAGATACAAAGTCTCCCTTCCCCAACAAGAAACTGAAAACATGTTTAACTGTCTTGTCGTTGAAAGGAAACCCTACATATTAAAAAAAAAGAAAAAGAAGATTAAGCCCCACCCACCCGCCCCGATCTCAATTGTGATGAGTTTTTTATTCGTAATCAGATAGAGGGGCGGAGTTTAACTGCAAAATCAATATTTCTGGACAAAATTTTACTTTCAAAAACATACATATTTTATGGTATAATCATATGGTAATTTCTTGTAGAAAAATGAGGATTTTGCAAGTAAGCTCCGACTTTTAGCTCACGATGAATAAAAAATTCATCACGATTGAGAAGGGGTGGGTGGGCGGGGCTATATTGCGTCCAGTTTTTCTTAATATACGAAGTCTTCTTTTCCCAATAAGAAACTGAAAACATGTTTGACTATCTTGTTCAAAGAAAACTCTATACATTAAACAAAAAACAAATATTAAGCCTGGAAAGACCTGACATATTTGGGCTTGACATGACTAGGGTTACCATACGTCCGGATTTTCCCGGACATGTTCTGGTTTTTCGACTGTCCGGGGAGGTCCGGCCGGATTTTTCTATTTCTGTCCGGGTTACTTTAACTAAAGAATTTTATGTTGTTTTTTCTGCAATACTTTTTTTTTATAAGTACTCGTAACTTTTTTGTATCAAAGTGTCCGGTTTTGTCCGGATTTTTAAAATTTTATGCCCTAGAATTAACTTTTAGAATATGGTAACCCTAGACATGACTCACCTTACAATAAATTAATTTTGCTCTACCTGACGTGACCTGGGTTGATGTGACTTATTCTGTCATGACCTACTATGTTCGGATCTATCCTAACATAACCTAACTTGTTATGTTTTGACCTGACATAATTTGGACCTCTCTTAAAATTGTTCTTGTCAATCATAACAATTTTTGTTCTTCCGGTTATTTGACGATTTCTGACATTCACCCACCCTTTGTTTGCTTGGTGGGTATGTCATTTGCCAAAGTCAATCTTATCTTAGAAGGTGCTAGCTCCGCCCACCCACCCTCTATTTTGTTAGAGGATATGTCATTTGCCAAAGTCAGTCTTTTCTTAGCAAGTACTACCTGACCTATGATCTAACCAGACATGTCCTGATATGACCTGACTGGACATGTCTTGGCCTCTTTGACCCGACTTGATATGAGAGGATATATCTTTTGCCAAAGTCAGTTTTATCTTAGCAAATACTAGCCCCGCCCACCCGCCCTTTATTTTTTTAGAGATTATGTCATCTGCCAAAACCAGTCTTATCTTACCAGGTACTAGCACCGCCCACCCGCGCAGTTCTCATTTTAAAGATTTTATTTTTGTTTAGATCTACCTTCCATTCTGACCACATAAAATTAATAACTGAAATGGAGGAGGGTGGATGGGCGGGGTTAATTAATTTCTATTAATAATTCTGTAGAGTGGAAATAGGAACCAACAGAACCTAGGCTCTTAAAAAAAAAGAAAAAAGCACTAATCGTTATTTTCTCTTACTGTGTGCTGTAAGGATTATTTTTTATTTAAGAAGAAAGAAAATGAGAATCCGGGTGGGTGGGTGGGGCTAAGTGGCTCCACTCAGCCATCCTCTCCTTATTCTAGGACTACTTTACTTTAGTTAATTATATTATATTAATTATCGTTACTTTTTCTTACTACGTCCTGTAAAAATGATTTTTTATTTTAGAAGAGAGAAACTGAGAAAACGGGTGGGTGGGCGGGGATAACTAACATTTTCTTACAGCCAAGCAATAGCATTCGAACTTCCGACTTAGAACCAATAAAATGAGTTATCAAAGTGGAGTAGGGGTGGGAGGGCGGGCTGAGTGTAACTTCTTTCTACAGAGTCTTATAAGCCACTAGTAGATCCACTCACTCATTCATTCTCTCTTCATCCTCTAAGACTACCCTTAATATTGTTTAGTCATATCTTAACAAGTAGTAGCCCCGCCCACCCACCCTTTATTTTCTTAGAGAGTATATCATCTGCCAAAATCAGACTCATGTCAGCAAATCCTCGTCCCGCCCACCCGCCCTTTATTTTCCTAGAAGGTATATCTTTTGCCAAAATCAGTCTTTTCTTAGCAGCCCCCAGTCCCAGTTCTAATTTAATATTGCTCAGTCTTTTCTTAGCAAGTACTAGTTCCAATATGACTTGATGCACTCTGATCTGACTTGAAATAACCTGGCCTGAAATGACCTCATTGAAGATGGCCTGACCAGACATGTTCTAATATGACCTAATATCCGTTCGCAAAACTCCCGCACTGTCAGAATGACATTCTGTTGGTATGAGAAATAACCCCCTAAAAGATTTTTAAGTTTATATGATTCCCGCCTTGAATTTCAAATTTTCAAAATTAATTAATGAAAAATCAAATGTTTATTAACTATTTTAACTTTTTGATTTGCTGAAGTGTTCAATGTGTTTAAATAACTTGTCAGTAATTCAAACAAATTGTAGCACCAGAAGCGTAGAAATGGACAGTAAGGTCAAAAATATATATTATTCAAAAAAAGCTTTCGTTGTCGTTCGTGCGTCATACTCTTTCTTTACTTGAATTGATAAAAATCGTCAGTTAATGTGCTTTTGACATTTTTATTTGACAAGTTATTTTTAGTTACTAATTTGTCACTAGATTGCAATTTTGCAACATATTGTACAGGTTTTTCACATCTCACCACTGAGTACACTCAGGTCATTTTTTCCAAATCTGACACTGACAGTGCGGGAGTTTTGCGAACGGATATTAACTCGGCATGATCTGGCCTGACATGCCTTGATTGAATATGATTTGTTATGTCATGACCTAATATGTCCGGAACTTGACATGTTCTAATCTGACATAATTTGGCCTGACTTGATCTTGCAATAAATTGATTTCACTTGAGCTGCCGACATGACCCAATTTAACATAACTTTGATATGATTTGTTTCGATCTGACTTGAAATGAACTCACCTGACATGATATGACTTACCTAATATGACGTAATCAGGCATGTCCTGATATGACTTGACATGATCTGACTTTACCTAGCTCGACAGGATCTGGTCTAACATAATCTAATTTAGCATGATCTCGATATGACTTGTTCTAACATGATTCAATGTGTCTTACCCTGACGTGACCTGATTTCACACGTTCTGACCTGACATCTTTGGGCTTGACGTGACTCACCTTACAATAAATTAATGTTGCTCTACGTGACGTGACCTGAGTTGATGTGACTTATTCTGTCATGACCTACTATCTCCGGATTTACCGTGACATAACCTAGCTTGTCATGTTTTGACCTGACATAATTTAAACTCTTAAAAGAGTTCCCGTCCCTTCTAACAAGTTTTGTTCTTCCGGTTCTTTGACGATTTACTTCGAGAGTATATCATTTGCCAAAATCAGTCTTATCTTAGCAAGTATTAGCCCCGCCCACCCACCTTTTCTTTTCTTAGAGGGTATGTCATTTGCCAAAGTCAGTCTTATCTCTTTGTGTATGTCTCTCCCACCTCTCTCTCTCATTCAGTGATTGTATAAAATAATATAATAAAAAAAAACTATTAAGCAAAACCTGCAAAACCTTAGAAGCGTCAATTAATTTTTTTGTTTTTATTTTGGTAGATATGAATGTCAGTTCCGCATTGCGTGTTGTGTAATAATAACACTAAAGTAAATTTGCATAAGTTATAGTTTGGTCTGTGTTTAGTCCGACCAATGATTAAAAAAATACTATATATTTAAAATAAAATACAAACAAACAATGGTCATGTAGATTTATTATTATTATTATTTTTTTTGACAAATGATTTTTGACGATTAGGATTAAAATTCACCCAAAAGTACAGTTCTTTCCACGAAACTAACGACAGAATGAAGAGATCTATCGTTAATGAGTTCCAGCCTTAGCATAATTATACCTATTTAACAAAAAGGAGCTAATTATGACTGACTAAAAAAATGCAAGGTTCCTTACAGGGTCATGGGCAGCATGTTCTGTGTGGGTAAAGCCACACACATTTCAGATGTGTATTTTGTGTTGCCTAAAATACTTCGTTAAAAATGTACTTAACTACGTAACACTGGGTGACATCTGCCGTAAAGTGTATGAAGTTAGTCAAGCGTACTTTTGGTTTAGTGGTCTACACATGAACAAAGGTCCCAATAAATGCTACGTCACGACATATTTTAGAAAATTGCTGTTTAAAATGACGACCAAAAATTCATTTTTAATTTACATAACAACAAGAATTGTTAAGTTAACAAAATGAAACCCTATGTTGTGTGTTTTAAATTGTTTATTCCTCCATTCTGCAAAAACCTTTTCCAGTTCTCACAAATAAAATAGAAGCAAATGGTACGACTCAATACAAATGTCCAAAAAACCTGCCGCATATTATACTTCCTACCTTGTCTTCGCAAAACAGCTCACTATTCCCAAATTGCGCGTTTCACGGGAACACGGGAAGGACAAAAACCGCAAACTTGAACTACAAAACCGTGTGTTCCGCTTTTGCCACAAGTTTTTGTGGTATAATTTAAATTAAATTCAAATCCTATCTTTCTTGAATTTATAACGGTATCTGGCGGACTATGAAAATTACAAGAAATGAAGCAAACAACATTTAATTATCCCCCAGTCTCTCAAAAATTGTAGGCAACAAGAAATTTACAATTAATTAAATAAATTATACATTCATAATTCAAGTTATGGATCAAATCAAAGTCAATTCACCGATTACATGGTAGACCGAAAGTAAACTCCAATTATATACAAACAAGGCCCATTTTGAGTACAACCAAAATCGAAATAAGGCGATCTAGGAAACGCTTCGTTCTAGAGCGACGACTTCGAAAATAAATGTTCAAATTCAAGTCGTAAGAAATGATTCAACTTGCAAGAAAATAATTACAACTATGTATTATAAATCCCGAGTGAGAAGTTATGAAGTATGGATAAAGTAATACTTAAGCCGTGACGGCTTTCCTCTTCTTTTACATGAAGCCACAGAAACAAATGGTTAAAAAATCTTAGGCACAGTGCTAGACTCGGAACAGACTACTTAGTCCACTGAACCGCTTCTTGGGAAGAAATGCTGGCGGCTTCAGTGGTAAAATTTCCAAAATTATGCCCCCTGCAGCAAGTTCATCGTAGATTTTTGTCAAATTCCATGAATATCTTTTTTCGATGGCGTTAGCAGTGGGATTTATAAACTTGCTGTTGACGTTGAAGTTCCCGTTGCAGTTGCTGTTCCCGATGACGTTGCCTTTAGAGCTGAAAATTGTCATTTATAAACTCCGTTGGCAAGTTGGCGTTGATAGTAACTTTAATGTTCAACTTTTGTCGTATTTAAAGAGGTTGTAGAAAAAAAGTGGAGGATTTAAATTGATTACTACAAAAATTTACCGTTTTAGACATGTTTTAAGTTTCTTGTTGTCGAAATAAGTCTACACATATTAAGAAAAAAACGGCAAAATGTAGTCCCGCCCACCCGCCCTATCTCAACTGGGATGATTTTTTTTTATTCGTCGTGAGTCAAGGGGACGGAGCTTAACTGCAAAATCCTTATTTTTCTACGAGAAAATAAAAACATGTTTTTGAGTATTGTGTTATTCAAAGAATACTATGTATATTAAGAAAAAAATAAAGCCGAAAATTAGGCCTCACCCGTACCCACCCCGATCATAATTCCCAATTGTGATAAATTTTTCATTCGTTGTCAATCGAGAGGCGGAGCTTAACTGCAAGATCCATATTAATTTGTTTAGAAGAATTTATGATTTTAAGCATGTTTTAAGTTTCTTGCTCTGAAAACACGACTAAGTATATTAAGAAAAAACGCAAAATATATCCCCCGCCCACCCGCCCTATCTCAATTTTGATGATTTTTTTTTAATAGTCGAGAAAAAATGCAAAATCGTTATTATTTTTCTACAAGAAATTACCACGTGATACATGTTTTTGAGTATCGTGCTATTCGAAGAATACTATGCATATTAAGAAAAAATTAAAGCCAAAGATTAAGCCCCACCCACCCTTGCCCTGATCTAAATAGTACTGAAGTTTTCATTCTAACGCGTAAGCCAAGGAAGTATTATAATCAAGTACGTCGGCCGACTCTCTACTTTTACATTTTCTCAACCTTTCATGACCCCTAGAGTACGAAGAAATGGGTCTTCCGTTTCCGTCTGTCCATCTGTTTACCATCCCGATTTTTTCTGCTGTAAGTATTCTCTGGCTGTGCGAGTGAGTAGTCGTTGTCACCCCTTGGTGCTTGGTACCCGGGGCGGACCGCCCCCACATCCCCCCCCCATTTACGCCGCGACTGTACTTAAGTAAAAACATCCAGAAACTTTAGTATCGTTATGAAAAAGAGTTAAGCCTGAATAAGTGAATTTCCTATCGCATATTCATTTCCTCTAAACAATTGCCCCCTTTATGAAATTATAGTCTAAATTTCAAGAACATGGGTGATTTTGCCTATGTTATTTTGATGTTTCTTATTTTAAATTTTTTCAAATTCGTTTCCCATGCTCTGTTTTCTTTCCTTTCCCTTGCGCGCGAAATTTGAATTTCAAATCAGGACACCACAACCCACTGTATTATTTTTTGCAAACGTTATAATACTGTTTAAATTAATATTTTCAATTATATATTTTTTATGTTGTCTATGCATCAATAGTAATATAATAAGGGAATTTATACACACTTTTTTCACATTCTTAAAGCACAATTAATATCTGGATATTGTTTAAGTAAGTTCCTAAATTAAAATATTGTGCATATAATTAGCATTATAAATGAGCTTGAAAATTCCACGATGTTTACAGTTTCGTTGTTTATAATGTTTATTTACAGATAAAAATAACGACAGTTATCGCTGGTTAATTGCTGATCCATGAAACGTATAGACATAAACTTCTATTTTGCTCTTTGTGAATGTTATGTTGACGTCCACACTTTGAATTCTCTTCAATTTAGTACTAAAAATTGGTCTTATGAAATACAATCGAACAAATCAGAAAAAAAAGTAGATTACAAAGTAATATTTCTGAAGTTTTTTAACGAAGTACTTGAATCTACAAATGCCAGATTGTGAAAAATACACCCAATCGTCTCCTTTTCGCAAAATAAATCGATTCTGCATATCGCAAGTCAGAATCATCAAAACAAGTCGAAATAAACTTCTGAACTCAAAATTCGCCAAAAATAAGACTTTTGGTTAAAATTTGATCGTTTCTTTGGTATTTTCGGATCCATTGGGTGTCGGAAACGCCAGAAAACACAAGAAAAAGTTTGGTTTCAAAATTAAGGTTTTTTCAGAAAATGGTATAGTTACTTTATCCCGCAGTAAAAAGCTTAGAATTGAAACCTTTCTTTATACGGGTCAACATCAGACAGCGCAAGTCAAACTCAGTTTATTTCATAAATTGGACACTAAAAGATATTACATACAATAAACTCATATGTGTGTATTTTTTTAGAAGTTTAACTGGCAATTTCTTCAGAGCTCATGTTTTAAAGTATTTTTATGAGTTTATGCCAAGTTTATGAATTAAACCGAATGAAACAGTTATAAACAGTCTAAATTTCTGAGGAAAGCCATTTAAAAAAAAAATATTTTTAAGTTCTTCATACAAGTTAATTTTCAATGTAATCACATAAAATACATACATAATTAGAAACTGAATCATTTACGTATTCATCGCGCTCTCGGAATCGCACTTAACTCGAATCCGTCTCGGCAAAAATCACGACAGGCAACTTGAGAGGATAAACCGTCGCCAATTTGTAGATAAAACATTAAATTAAATACACCAACTGTGATTTTTGATTGATCTGTTTTCATCAATACAACAACTATTTTTTTTAACAGAACTAACCCATCAGTTTGAGCCCCCAGTTTCCGTTTTAATGAACTTTTGCCACCAACGTTTCGAACCCAACAATCACCAACGCAAGCGCGGACAAACTTCACTCATGTTTGTTTTCGTTTCTTGCTCTTGCTTCAGTCGCTACGATGCCGGCATAGGAGAGTGGTAAAACCGCGCAGTGCACAAGTCACCTCTCACGGAACTTTGGAAATGCGCCCTTAAATTTTCCAAAAAAAAATCCCAGACATTTAAAAAACCCGCCAAAATGAACTTCTTACACAGCTTAATTTTCTCCGCAATAATAATAGCAGTGCAAATTAGGACGAAAGTGTGGTGCTTCAACATCGAAACCCGCAACCCCATAGTGAAAAGAGCCTCCAATGGGGGCAAAGATACGTATTTTGGATACAGTGTGGCCCAACATGCCGTGACTGAGGGCAGCCAAAATCCGAACGACTACTGGTGAGTGAGGGGTTGAGCAACAAGTGTTTTAAGTATTCATCCACCTGCACTTATTTGGCTAAAACGTCACGTGCTCTGGGCAGAAATATTTGAAAAAATGCAGTCGCACCTGCCAAGGTGAGGCTTACCTCCCGCCCATCAAGCAGGCTGTGCTACCTACGGCTGCATTGTTTTGTTTGTTCTTTGACGTGTAGTCCCAGCCAACTAAGGCCTTTCATTAGCAGCCGCAGGATTAACCGCGGTCGGGTGATTCACTTGGATGGAAGATTTGCTCTCAAGAACGGGTCTTGGTTATCTTGAAAAGAGCAAATATAATAAACGGTTTATAATTCCGTCAAGCTTATCTTAGAATTGTTTGGTTGTTTGTTAGTCGAGTAATGCTAATATGGTCTATGGGAACCACCAAACCGTGCCTTTTTCCCATATTTGGTGCCGACCCAGCTGCGTAATTATCTCCAAATTGAGAAAATTTACAAATAAACATCCTCTCAACTGGTGTTTAACATTGAAGTTAATGGTTTGTAATTTCTGCTTCCGTCGATCGATTAAGTGCCAATAACGCCGGCACTAAACACCAATTTCCGCACGTTTGGTAAAATGGAACGAATCCCACAAATTCCAAATCAGTCTTTCCAGCGCGATTTGATCATCGACACTCAATAATCCATTAACCCGCTTTGTTAGACGGATTGTGGTTCCCACAGAATGGTACCTCCATTGTCCCGGCGGTGAAGTCAACAAAAACAATAAATTGTAATTGTCAAGGGCGCAGCTTGAGCCCTTGAGGGTGCCCGAAGGGCGCGGTCCGAGAATTCCAGGTACGATGGGTGACAAAGGGGTCGATGCGAGTACTGTTATCGGATTATACGGAACGTCATCGTGGGTCCACTTCCTGGACGACTATCACTTGATTGTATGTTAATGTGCGATTGACCTGTTACCTTGAACTGAAAATTCGCTTGCTTTTCATGAATGGGTTTGCTGAACCATTCACAAGCGGGAAGGGAAAGTGATGGAAGTGGGAATGGAAATGTGGTGTCAGGATTGACATTGGAATAGAGAAAGATTCGTCATATATGGTGCGATTAGTGCAGATGTCGAGGTGCCGTTGCATAAGCGAGCCGGATCAGTGTCATATGGTCAATCCACCGCGCTTTGTACGTGTATACCGTGAATTTTGAAATTAGAATTTCAATTTTGATAAAAAACGCATTTGAAAAATAGTGGGGAATAAACCTGCCGCATATTATACTCTCTATCCCGTCTTTACAATTTAAAATCCATTTGGACAAATTACAAAAACCGCAAACTTTAATTAGAAACCGCGTGTTCCGCTTTCGTGATCTTGTGCTTTTATTCCAATTGAATTCAATTCTATCTTTCTCGAACTTATAACGATAGTTGGATGAGCATTAGAATTACAAGAGATGAAGCAAACGACACTCAAATATGCCACACTTATCTTAAGTTATCGGAAACACTATTAAATGTTCAAATTCAAGCCGTATCCAGAACTTTGAACATTGTCATAAGAAACATTAAGCGCGAATGAACTTTCTGTCGCGTGTGACTGAATTTACGAGAAAATAATCCAATAATTCAGTTCAAGTACGTGCTTGTTATTATCAAAGATAACGAAAGTCATGAAATGCAAAATTTTTGGCACCCGTTGCCGGCACTGACTTCCGTGATTGGGATCAGTGCCTTTGGCCTCCATATTAATTAGTGGCGCCGGCTCTTTTAATAGTAACCAGCGCCGCGTCGGTTGCTATTGTATAATAGAGAAACCACTGCTAAAATAGTACCAAGACACCAATACAAACACGATCAAAGGCAGCTATGGGTTTTTAAAGATTTGTCTTTGATAGAATTTTTATCTTTCGAAAATCCATGGTTGCTTTGAAATAAAATTTGGGGAAATTTGTCGTGGTTGGTACGACAAATGTCATATTATAACATTTGAAGTTTAAATTTTTACAATAATAAATTATTATTAACAATGTGAAATGCCCTCTGATATACGAGAAATTGCCCCCTTCCTGTTGTCAAAACTGGCAAGGTTGACAGTGATATTTAATTTACACTGAAATTTATTTGTTCATTTACGTTGTGAATTTTTAAAATTTTGGGAAAAAATTAATAGGAATTTAAAAAATCTATAGTGGCAGCAATGTAATGATAGTTATTCATAACCCTTGACAGGTAGCAAAGTTTAATTTGACAATATAACCAGATGTATTGTACGACAATAAACTTTATTTAATTATTATTATTAAACTGTCAAAACATGACTTAACTTCCTTGGGTGCTTAAAAGTGGCACCGCGCCAGGTTCGGCAATTGCAGTGCAAGAATTTTTTTTTCAGAATTGTATTGCCAACCCAAACATTATTTGTTGATCCTGCTGTATCATTTCGTTTTTTTGACATTTATTTTGTTTGTTATTCGACACTGACATTTATAATGACTACCAGGGGCGGCTCATGACTTGAAAAATTGATGAGGCACAGCACAAAACGCTCTAAGATATAAATAAATCAAGTTTACTTAAATATTTTCTATTTAGTCAAATAAACAAATTTGTAAACTCATTTAACTGTCCACAAAGAACCAACGTGAAGGTGTAAGGAGGTCTTGCAAGGAAAGGATGAGAATGACAGGACAAAAGGAAAGGGAAGCGTGGTCAGAAAAAACTAATATAACTTCTAACAAAAAACAAAATTAAAATAAACTTTAAAGGAAACATATCGAAAAAGATCAAATACAACATAAAATAAAGCTAATTTGATTTATAACAAAAAACAAAATGAAAAAAATATAAAATATAAATACGGATTTATTTTAAATTTTTTTTATGGATCAATTAACGATTTACTCAAATCAGGAACCGGCGGTTTTAATTCCTTAACTACATACAATTTATCATCATACGTGAAAGTAGAAAAAACAGAACTGCCATTGTCATTTAACGTTAGTAGAGAAAAATTCCGATTTACTCGTAATCTTAAATAACGTTTACCGAAATCAAATTATGACAAGCACAAAGCACTAACGCGACCCACGCAAACGTAGGCACTTTTAAGACAAAATTCTGTTACCGAAATTTTGAATCAATTTATACACACACAGATTTGTGGCAAAACAATCAACGGCCTAATTTTGAATACGCCTGCGAATGCAGACTGCATTGCAATCGCACGTTCCCCGCGCGCAAATAATATAGTTGTCCATCTCTTTTGCAAGCACGGAAATGAGGCTAGCCTCAATTTTGTCTTTTTTCAACTCATACCGCTTATAAGTGTATTGCAGGTTGCTTGCCTATTAACGACATGATTTCTATATATGCTGTAGAGGCAAGGTTCGAGTCGGCCTCATTCGCGTCACAAAATACATGTTGTGCCGAGTGTTTAAGCGCGCTGTTTAATTAAGGGAGCAACGAGTACCTACCGAGATAAAAATAAGAATATAATTTTCTATATTTATTTTTAAAATTTTAGAAAAAAGACACAAATTATTGGCCGAAATGTGTCCGTATAAAATAATAAAAATCCTAATAAGGCGTAAAATTCATTGGTGAGGCACTGCCTCACCTGCCTCATAGGACAAGCCGCCCCTGATGACTACCAATTTTGAGAACGTGAATTACACCGGTTGTATTACGAAACTCATATAAGCTACCAGGTGACTATTAGTGATTGAAGCAAAGTTTTGTGTTGCCAGTTCTGAAATATTGGCAGCATGTCAGGTGGCAGTCATCAGTTTTGACATAAAATTTCGATTTGACAATCAGGAATCTTAAGATTTTAACTGTTTCAACCTAACAAAAAAAATCACAATCATTACTAGTCTCTCGGTCTTAGAGTACTAAATTTAGGAAGGTGTGTTGTAAGCGCCAAGTAGAAAAAAAAAATTATGCAATCATTTGAAATTACAAAATATCTACATACACAAAAATACGAATTTTTGCGGTGAATTGCCAACAAACCAACATAAAAAGAGAAAATTTAGGAAAACCATCCTGTATTCACTGTTGTAAATTTTGTTTATTCTGTTAAGGGAGCAATTTTTTTACATGGTCGTTCAAAAAAATTAATGTTCTTAATCTACAGCGTGATCAACAAATATTGTTTCAGTTGGTATCAATGAATTTTAATTGAAATTGGTAGACCTGTCACTCCACCTTACTGCATGTTGTCAAGTCAAAACTGACATGTTTGAAAGTGACATGTAGTTTACATCAAAATTTGTCATTCATTTGTATTAAGATGTCATAACCAAACTTTTTTGAGCGTCTTCTAGATTTAAGTAATTTAAGAATTTTTACTTAAAGTGTGACGTCATGAGAACATCCGACCGATTCTGGATGTGAAACTCTAAACCTAATAAAAATATGGCTGTGTTTACCACATCATTTTTTAAAAAATTGTACAACCACAACGAAAAATATGTTAACATGGTTGTCTGAAGCGAAACTACTCGTAAACATAAGCATAATAAAAAATTCGTCTATGGTTATGTAGACAGAACTTCTTTCGCCCCTTAAATAATAAGATCATCAAACACGTCATAGCTATCAAGAGTATGAAGAAGAAAAAATTTAAAAAAGATCAAAATGTCAAAAATATTATACATACAAATGTAAAGAATATCGAGAACGTGTAAGAATGTCAAAGTTTAAAGTTGCAAGTGCTAAACATTCTTTAAAAACATCGCCAAGAATAATATGTCAAATATACCTGAAAATGTTAGCTATGTCAATCACATCAAATATTTCAAAATTGTCAAAAATAACAAGGCGTCAATATTCTCATAATTGGCAAAAAATCTCAGAAACAAAAATATGTTAAGCATTTTATAATAACTCAAGAATGTCAAATATCAAAATCTCTACAAAAAGAAAACGTTGACTGTCAAAAACTTCCAAAATTTGGATAACTGGAGCTATATTTATTATTGAAAATTGCAAAATTGATATCTCGAAAAAAACTTCGAATATATGGT